CCCCCCCCCCCCCCCCGAACTCTCAAACAAACAACGGGATTGACCAGATCATTTGCATCTCCAAAAATCGCCACTAGTCACACAAGCCTCGCTCGCACACCAACACTCAGTCCAACACGGATAACAGTAACAACACGCCCGCTCCCAGCCCCCACCCAACATCGCTCCTTGCTCACCACTCACCGCAGCACCCGGCAAATATCTTTACACCCCCAAGCCGTAGCTGCCCCGTCCGCCGTGTGGATGCCTCCAGAACACTACCGGACATGTGAATCCGTCGCTGAACGCATCATTGGCGATCCTTTTCGACACCACAACAATATCATCGTTCCCGTCGCTAGCTCAAGCAGGAACGCCGCTGTGCTGCTACCGCCGCCGCCACCGCCGCCGCCGCTGCTCTATACTATCTCGTCTATTCACAGCCGAGCTCGCGGGTGTTTGTAGTTCAGGAGTGCCTGCGGCATGCACGTCTTGACCAAATCCTGCGACAACACACGCATATGATGCGCAAACACAGCAGCAGAACAAACAGTATAAGTTAAGAGAGCGAGCATGCCCATGGTGGTACGAGTAGTACTCAGCGAACGTCGTGAGGCAACATGATCAAACCACAGTTGAGGGTAGAGTACCTCTTGATACCACTTTAACAGTCCCTACATCACGCAGATGATCGTATTAGTCAAATGAAGGGGCCTAACGACGTGCAGTGCTTGCTGGTCGTTCCCTTGGGCAAAAAAAACAGGCGGGAGCGTGTAATGAAAGCGCGGCGCCTTTTCAAGCAACGACGACACGCTAACGGCCTTCCGCGCTGGCGACAACAAACAACATTCCCGGACAATCTTGGCTCAAGCACCATTCCTCTATTCTATGCAGAAAACAACTGGTCGCTATCTCTGCCATCTTGTGGAGAAAGGGCGCACACGCATGCATACTTGATGGCAGTGCTTCAACAGTATGAGACGTGTACGGCGGTGCTCCTACCCAGTTCTTGTCAACACTTGCTCTACGGCATCAAACGCTTGCAAAACTACAGCTTGTTGCGGTACGCCGACACCTTAGCCCTAATTGGTACCACGCTATATTGTTGCGCCCGAGATCCCAGCCGCAACAGATTGACTGACTAAAGACGACAAAAGTCTATTGAACAGGCTCACCTTCCAGTCTCAGGTGGTACATACATTACGGGGACACGTTGCCGCAAGGGTGTTTACCAGAACTTTTTCTGGGCATGTGGTGTAACAAACAGACCCGAAAGTGGTGGCGTCAAGCCGCAACACACATAACGTTCCACAAGAAACCGAACCCACACAATGTGCGCGTACCTTGAGCCATGACGACCAACAAAGGCACGCACGTAGATCCGCACACGCTCTGCGTGCAACCCTCTACGTCTGCAGTCATAGAACGCCCACCGTCACGTCCACACATGCGCCAGACGTCGGCCAAATAACCAAGGCCTACCCAGGTGCCGGACAACGACACGCGTGAAGGATCGAAAGAACGAACAACCGGGGTCGCCGCGCGAGCGTGGGCGTGAGTGTGCCATCTGGTCTACAGGACGTACCTCGAGGCAGTGGATGCCGTACTTGTACGGGGCGCCCGTGCGCTCCAGCAGCTGGGGGTTGAGCTGCCCCTCCGGCGTGAGGAACTGGAGGCCCATCGGCTTCTGGTGCCACCGGATGAGGAAGTCCATCGTCGGGGTCGGGAAGTTACCGAGCATCTCTGGGGTTTCATCAAGGCCAAGGGCAACCGGCAGACAGCAACAGGCAGCGTTTACGCCAGAGTTGGAGCGTGTTCGTTCCAAAGGCCAACGGCAGCCCATGGATAATAATATTGCAGGAATGAATGTAAACGCGAAGCGCGTTTGTCATGAGGCCAAAGGCAGCCCAAAGACGAGAACGTCGCAAGACGTACGCGAGAGAGTTGGCAATTGCATCAACAAACAGCCTCAAGAATACGTCCAAGATTTTGATAGGTAAAAGTCCAAAATAGCGGCGATGGTGGTGCGCGAACAGGTTGGGCGGTAGACTTTACACCAGCGGTTGGTCCTAGCGCCTCCGAAAAGTGGTAGGAGCATGGTGGATGGCCATGATCTATCGAACACTTTAGGGTTGGGACGTTGGTTTGGAGTCTGTCAGTGTTGCGACTTCACTGCATGAACACCTCGACGGACAATCATGATGTTCGAACATAACATATTGTGATCATAGGTCATGCCGCTGAAAAAGGGGTCGGACCGTGTTGTCCAGCGTTGCGCAAAAATGAAAAAAACAAACAAACAAACAAACAACATCGCGTCGTTCGGCGATTAACTGTTTTCGAGAAGCTGGGGCTGTTCTTCTGAGTACAGAGCAACGATCCATGCCTGTCACAGCTCTACCGATAGTTGAGGCGAATCGTCTGTTCATCGCACTCAAGCGCGAGCTTCTTCTTGAGCATGCAGGTGCCAATGACCCACGCTGCCATCCCTTGTTGAGTGCCAAACGCATGTGCGCCACATCTCCTCGATTCGCCGGTGGCTTTGAGTTTATCGCATGTACAACCCTTTCTCACCGGCAAGATTCTTGAGGATGCAGAGGCCGAAGGGAATGTCTTCCCAGAACAAGCGAGTGTCCACGTTGGGCCCGAACCGGCCGGGTGAAAACTTCACGAACGTGGGGAAACAGACAGCAAAATATAATACACGAGGCAGATAATCAGACTGGTGTAGCAGAGACGGAAAGGGGGTACTCTTAGCCGTGCATGCCGCAAATTGAACTCGCATCCCTATGAAGCCCGGACGGAGTACGCCATCGAGCCAGGCTCTCACATGGCCAAGCGCAAAGCGTCGTACGGGGCGGGGAGGGGGGGGGATACGATCGAGCAACGTGAACCTCGGGCGTAGCGCGCCAAATGGCGTGTGTGCCGGCATGCGTGTGAGCCGTACTAGCAGTACCTCTTTCAGAGGCGTGGGGCAGCCCTTGTAACCGATGTTGGAGCAGAAGGTCTGCTTGAGGGAGCTCGTGTCCGATACGTCCTCGCCGTAGTGCAGCTTCACTCGCTGACGAACACGTTTCAGGGGAAGCAAAGCAAGCAGCCGTGGAAAGGTTCATCATGATGTGGGGGTGGAGCCAGGGTGAGGGCAAAGGGACAGGTACATCGACGGCTCGGGAAGTTCGCTTCAGAGACCTTCAAGTATCCCACACTTGTACATAGCAGATCAGTAAAGAAATATTGCGAGCTGCCCCCAACACGAGGAGGCCGGTACACACGGGTTGTGGTCGAGACAAACTCCTCGATATATTGCCGCGCGTAGAATTAAACGGGTGTAACAGTTACTGACCAACTTAAGCTTGGCATCGAATACCTGGGCTTTTGCTGGTGTGTAGTTGTTGTTAGCCTCAGCATGGAACCCTTGTTGTCTGTGCACCCAGCTACTTCTACTGTGTGCGGGTGAGACGGTACGGTTATTCCGGTTGAGGCGGTAGGGTACGGTTGTTTCCGTACCTGACCAATCGGGAAAACCGAGGACAGGTCTAACTGGGGGAACCGCTGGAGGAGAGCGAGCTTGATCTGTTGCAGCTCGTTGTCGATGGCCGCGAGAGTCTCGGCAGAAAACTCGTCGAAGTTGTCGTCTGAATAGGTAGAGAGTGAGAGGCGGAGGCAGCGGCAGCAGGGGCACCAGCGGGGACGGCGCCGGAAACATGGTATTAGTCCTCCTATACGTGGATGCACGGAGTGCATCGTTGTCGGGTTCAAACGCTTCAATATCGACATGTTGTCTCTCACTGATCACCATAACAAATAGCGGCAGAGGCAACAGCCACAACAGCGGCATCATCAACACCTGAAAACAACTATCCGTCAAAACTCGCCGTTCCGCATCGACGGCACGGCATACCACGCCACCTTTTCGCTATTTCCGCCAGCGCCAAAAACGCAACAGAGAGGAGAGGATAAACCGCAAAGCACCTGTACCAACGACACAGCATTGACGGACAGGGACAAAGGGGTACGCAGAAACTAGAGGCCTGTTAGTGAGGGTGCCACCCGGCACTAGAAGGNGGGGGGGGGGGGGGGGGGGGGGGGGGGGGGGGGGGGGGGGGGGGGGGGGGGGGGGGGGGGGGGGGGGGGGGGGGGGGGGGGGGGGGGGGGGGGGGGGCGAGCGGGCGAAAGAAAGAAAAACAAGACAACCAAGCGGGGAAACCAACCGAGAAAATCAATAACAGACATCAACCAAGAAACACAAAAATAGAAACCAACACCGATGAAAAAAAAGAAACTCGAGGGATACAGTGGCAGAGGAGTAAAGTCGTGTCCGACAAACGATCGCAACGACATTGGAAAACGTCGACTATGGACAATGGTGACTCACACAGCGTCAGCCCCTTCCGCTCCTCCAGCTCCGCCTTGGAGTAAGTCTTGGTCCCGTCCCAATCCCAGAATATCCCGTAGTACCGAGCTATCGTCATACGGTACGGCACGGTGCGCGGTACGGTATTCGCCACCGAGCGGTTTCACCGTCATGCGGTCCAGCAGTTCGGGAGTTCCACCCAGAGGCGGGTTGACCGTGCGTGGGTGGGGGGCCGGAGGGATAGCACGGGGCGGCCAAAATGGTAGTGGTCAGACACGCTTAGTTGCCGTAAGAGCAGGGGCGGGGTACGAATTTGCTGCTTACCGGCCATTTTACAGAACCGGTCATTTCAATCCCCTGCTACAATGTCTCTCAAAGCCAGTTTCCCGTCTTAGACCTTTGTAATGTAGCTTCTCTAACTCTGTCTGGTGAACGAGAGGGGTCGGGGGGGGGCGAACGACCGGAATAACCAAGACCAAGCGGGTTCGCTCTAACCACCAGGGACAGCGGGGGTGTCGGGCAGAAGGAGAGAATGCGTCGGGGAGCTCGTAGGGCATCCGTGAATGCAGGCAGAAAACGCATGTCACGGTAGTATAGTAAGAATAGTCATGCTCTTGCAGCACCATACCACGGATGCGCACTGCGTTTCTCTCAGCAACAAACCACGAAAACGCCGCAGAGATGTCTACGTTGCCGGAAGTTGATGGCGCGCTCACGATCACAAACCGATTGCCCTCCACATTACACACAAATACACCGTGGCCTTTCTCTCACCAGTGCACTGGGAACGATACATAATACTCGGATTAGCCGAGTGGCGTGAGACCCTCAAAAGGCTGAACAACAGTCTGTACGCCCTCGTTGTCTTCCCACAAACCGCGCCGAGTCCCACCTCACCAGGGTGCAAGATCTGGTTGGACGGTGTCAGCGTGAGGTTAAGGAAGTTGGGGACCGTTCCGCAGGGGATGTCGAACATGGCCTCAACCCTGAGGGCCATCTCGTTCCGCTGTTCCACGGGGTAGGACGCCACGTAAAGCTTCTTTTTTGGACCCACGATTATAGCCGACTTCCTGGCGTCGTCGAAATCATTGTTGTTTTGTTGGGAATGTTGTATACGTCGCTGTTGGTGTTGTCGCCGATTTTTTTGGGAACGCTGCGCGTACATACGTCGTTGTTGTGGTCGTTTTGTTGGGAACGTTGCGCTTCGTTGTTGTTGGTGGTGGTTGAAAAACATTAAAGCGTGCGTGCATATAGACACCGGCACAAAGGCGGACGCGTGGGGGACGAACAACATAAATGTGTGAGAGGAGGAACGGCCATGGGCACCCCAAGTTTTCGCGTCGGGAGGTACAGACAGCCGGGGGAGAAGAGAGTAGGCGAGACAAGAAGGAGGGTACGAGTCATAGTCGGACAGCCCATCGCCGCGAAATAAAAGCGAAAACCTTGCGATCATCGACTCGTTCGTACTCGATACCATATCTCTGAATCAATGGGAGGGAAGTACGGTACAAGTGCAATATACACCCGAGCACACGCTCGCTCTCTCGACGACCAAAAACGAAGACAACATCCCATTCACCCAAAAAAACAAGACAAAATCGAACTGCTTTCTTTTTCTTCTTTTTCGTACCCGTACTCGTTGATCCTGCAAATCCACGGGATGTTCTGGAGTCCGAAAAGGCATCCCACGCGGTTAACGTGTGACCCCATCGAGTGTACGCAAGCCCAGTCGAAACCGCCCTGGAGATACAACAGTGCGAACGCAACCGAGGGTGTAAATAGTCAGGGCACTAGGTGATTGGCTTAGTCGTTTCACGCCTACATCACACCGCTTATCGCGTCTGCTTTCTCGAAGGCATGCCGTGGTGGGGTGGAGGAAGGGGGAGGGGGCGTTGCAGCGCCAGCGGAAAGTCGGTGGCTGAATGATGACAAGAGAGGCGGCAGCAGCAGCTGCAGTGGCAACAGCAATGGCTAAAATGGCAAATAAGCACAGCGTTCCCCCGACAAACATCATGCCAGCGGCAGCAGCAACGGCAACATCGGCTGGCAAGCATGTCGTCCCTCCACAAACAGCTTGGGGGTCGAGATAACCAAGCGTCGCAGTTTTGGATTACGTTCGCTCGCAGTGTTGTCGCCATCACTCATGAAAAAAAAAACAAGCAGGCCCGTCGTCTAAATCTTCTTCATCTTCTCTCCTCTGTTCCTCCTCTCACCTGTGCGAAGAGTGCACCCACTGCTGCACCGTCGTCTACGAAAGGGGCCACCGCACGAAGGAGGTCGGGGTGGGCGTTGGCGGGCGCCGCAATGATCACCACCTGGAGATCAAGCACAGCAAGCAGAGCAAGGAGAGCATCAAGCTGAGGCAGCAGAGCAAGCAGAGCAACTAGGGCAAGCAGGGCAAGCAGGGCAAGGCAAGCAAGGCGAGGCAAGCGGACGACGGCCGCGGCAGCGGCAGCAGTGTCTGTCGTACCCATCATTACAGAGGCGAACACCGCGAGAACAAACCATAACCCATCGTTCGATTCACCGCTTACCGCGAGAAGGGTTTCCGTCCGACCTCTCCATTTCTTCCTTCGAAAACAATTGTCGGATCCTTTTCCGACCAAAACACTATTTATGCTTTCGATCGACCCTCCGCCGTAAAGTAACGCCACTGATGCTCTTCCCTTGTACTAGGTTCCAGTGCGAACCTCAAATTAGTGAATCCTAGTGCTTGCAAAACCTTAGAGGTGCGCGGTGGCGGGCGAAAAAGAGTGCATGGAAAGGGCAGCCAAAGCGACCGACCACGCCCGAAAGCAGCCATCTGGCAGTACATCACGTGTCATTAAACCCGGATGTAAGACCTCCCTCCGATCGGGCTGCACGATTTCTGCTCTCTATTGCACGCGCGTAAGTCACTTGACGGCTGTACTCTTTCACACAGCAGCAGCAGCAGCAGCAGCAGTGGCATTTGCTCGTCGCGTGATCCCGTCGAACGAGGCAAACGGCAGCAGCGGTGGCGCTACGACCGGCAGTAGCCTATACGCTGGTGTTCCCAAGCATTAGGCAAACATATCGAAGAAGTTGTTAGTTTGCGACGAAGTTGGGGTTGGGGTTAGCGCAGGGGTTTGAGCACCCCCGGCTGGTCGTATCAAGTTGCATGCTAAACCGTTTTTTCGAGTAGGCCGTCCACAACAGGCCACTCCTGCACACCTACTGCTGCACCTCTGAGCCCGCGCAGGCCTGGGACGCGTCCCCGGTAACCAGGTTCAGGGCCCCGGTGATCTTCCCTCGCTTCTCCCAGCTACTGCCTTCCGTGGACAGGGTGATGGCGTCGCCCCAGCGCTTGGACTGTCGAGTGAAGACGTTTACCCTAGAGTTGGGAGGTATTTGCGTTTTGATTGGTTAAGGGCACCCGTGCAAGATGAGCGCGAAAACAGCGTAGGAGTGGGATGACGCAACAAGACTGACATCCTCTTGTACGTACCGCCACCGACCGATACGCAACCCCCAACGGATAGATCGCGCCCCCTCCTAAGGCCAACTTTCGAACCTCGGTCGCTCCGCGGCCGCTAGGGGGAGCAGCGAACCCGATCGGCATGTATGCACGAAGTTAATCTCTGGACAATGACGTCTGCTAGGCCGCTTGGTCGCGGGGCGATCGAGCTTCGAATGTTCGAAATCAAGTACGGAGTAGCGGAGAGAGGGGCGATCTCGCCGAATGACAGCAAACGGCACCTCCAGGTGGTGGCATTCGCGTGCCCTGGAGGAGAGGACTTCGTGTGGTCAGCCAAAAAACAAACATTGACCCCTCATCTTCTGAATGCACCCAAAAACTTTGGTGCTTCAACGCATACCCACCCACGTGGTGGTGTGTGCGGCACAGAGAGTTTCAATTCGCATGATGCTGGAGAAACCAGCAGCGGCGACGCGTGTGACAGCACCCCTCTACTACAGAATAGGCAAGTTGCACGCGCTTGAATTCTGGTTGAATCTCACAATTTGGACGGTAGGTACCTGGTCCGTCTTTGAACAAAAAGCCTACAGCAGTAACATGTCTTCTGTCTGAAAGCTGGAGAGCCAAAGGCTGCAGGTTCGAACCTCTGATTCGTTTTGATCACTTGAGTTTTGCACGCCGCCCCGTTTCATGTGTGTGTTGCGGGTTACGCGAACCTTGACTAGAGTGCAAGCCGCGAACCAGTCATCCATCTATTGTTGTTCCTCTCTTGCTTCGTCCGTTGCCAAGCCGCAGAGGGGGGAAACGGCTGCGAAGAGGTTCTTGCAACGGCAACCAACGGCAACAAATAGATCGCTGGCGTCGATCCCCCCCCCATCGTCCCCCTTCATCTAGTTGATAGCCTACGTTGTACAAGACGACCACGGTGGTGGTGCGTAAGCCGAAAACAATACTACTACTGTCGTTCGTTGCCGTCAGAGTCCTCCTTTTGACAGGTGGGCAGTGTAGGTCGGAATGCTGTTGTGTGTTGGGGTTGCGTCATGTACAGCAAGCAACCTTGAAACGGACTACAAGAGCCGGAGGAGGCGAGAGCAGGAGGAAGCCAACTCCCAACGGAACAACCACAGACAGGCAGCTGTAAGTACCATGTGGTAGGTGACGACAACACCTCTCGGTTGCAGCCGAGAGCTGGAGGCCTCTCCAACCCCCAAGGGAACAACCACAGACATTATGCATCCCATGTCGTAGACAACGACGACACGTCTTCTATGTCGCAACCGCATACGCAAGCAACAGCGAGTAGCAGTCAAGTATTCATGTCTCCTGATAAAGAAGCTTGCTACGCCTCACTCTCTCTCTCCCTCACCTGACGCCACGAGAAGCCAAGAAACCCGCAGCGACATGGGCACCGTTCCCTCCTCCACATATCGTGGCCTGGGTGGGCCTCCAGCCTTCCCTTGCCGCGCTCAGGCGCTCCATCTCCGCACTGCTGGTTGCTACGGAGATCGTCATTTTGGTGCGGTGTGCTGTGTGACAACCCAGGGGTGTTGTTTCGTGCTATTGCCAGTCGTTCCTTCCGTTGCTTGCGCCAATGGTATAAGCAATAACAGACGTTGGAGAGGCTACGCCAGTGCAGGAGAGAGGAGTCGTCGGTGTCGGCGCTTGGCTGGTGTGGGGGCGCGACTTGCACACGTGCTGCGTGATGACACGTGACTGTGAGGCCGGGCACCCAAGGGTAACCAGGACGCGGGGCTACATTAATAATGTTGCAATGTGCGGAGCCCCTGAGGTGAGCTGCCAAGCTGCTAGGGATGCTGCAGCTGGATGCTACCCCTCCCTTACAACACAGAGTAGCAGGAGCATCAGACTAGCAGAAGCTCCCGAAGAAGAAATCCGTTCTCAGGCATTGCCCACAACCATTCAAATTAAACCTCGTGCGGATAGGGGATAGGGACTGCCAAACCAAACACGAGAGTCCAAATCTCTAGCTATCTTCCGAAGTCTACGGAGCGCAGCAGGCGCCGCCCTGCCGCTGTGATCTTGCATCCACACCAGTGCACGCGGGTGTAAAAACACCGTCACCATGATTGCGGCCACGCGGTATCCGGCCTTTTCTAGAAACTTTGAGGACGAACAGGACTACGCCGACGCAGCGGTTTCGGCGGCGAGGAAGGCCAACTCGCTTCCGAGCGGGGTGAAGCTTGCCCCGATCTTGCGGTGGAAACGGCGGCAGCAGCGGCAGCAGCAGCAGCAGCAGCAGGAAGGGGAGGCCAGCTCGGTAAGGCTTTGTTTGGAAGGGGGCTGGGCAACATCGGCCCTCATGTCCATGTGCAGCCTTTTATCGCTCGCTGTTGTGTTTTTATCTAGCAGGTTCTGGGTTGTGCTACGGGTGGGTTCAAAGTCCAAGATCACCGCGTGCATCGAATCTACAAAATGTATGCTCCAACAGAGAGAATAACCCGGCGACGTTTCACGAACAGTTGTTGTTGTTGTTGTTGTCTTGATATTAAAAATCATCCCGGTTTCTATCCAGTACCTCCAGTGTCTCAATCTCTCCGTACCAATCCAGCACTTGACTCGGTCAATTTCCGTGGTCACAGGCTAACGTACCTAGAAAAGGTATACCGAAATAAAATGGACCCCAAGGGTTAGCAGAGCGATAAAATACAAGAAAACAAAAGAATCAGAAACAAATAAATAAATAAATAAATAGTGGAACGTGCGCACCACCAGCCTGGGGGGTAGCCTTCCGGAAGGACCCCAAGGGTCAGCAGTACGTGTCAGTAAAAAAACAAAACAAAATGCAACGAAATAAACCAAAGACAGACGAGGACATAAACAAACTCGCACAGAGACTGGGATTTCCGTAGAGACAGTCTGAACGCGACAGCAAACGGGGGAGAGGGCAACAGAAAAACTAGTCGCTGAAATTCAACCGCAACAAGTCACGTCACGCGGTCGATCTCTTCTCGCTTGCTTTCTTCCCGCGCCGTTTCCTCCCGCCCCCCTCCCGCCCCGTTGATTGGTGCCGTATCTAGACTATTTTTGGGCCCGCTGTCTCCTCGTTTGATGGCTCGTTGTCGGCTGGCCTTCTCCTCGCCCATGCGCCAAGAGGCCATAAACCTCTCAGCTTCCTGTAGCACTCCCGCGTGCCACGGTACCCCCCCCTCCACCTTCGCCGCCTCGTCCCAGTCTGGCTTCGGGATTCCGAAGAAGCTCCGCTTGTCGGGCGTGG